AGATGTGACACAGATAAAATCTAGCATGAGTTCCATGGGAGCACTACCGTAATGACATTGGACTGATCATTCTGCCGGGCACGACTCCCAGTAAACTTAACTGTAACGGTGCCAGACATAGGACAACTTGCCATGCCGCAACACGCATAGCAAAGTATACGCAAATATTAGTTGTAGCCTACGTGTATTTACTTAGCTAGCACTACTTGAGTCCAGTGCAATATTCAAAACTAACTTGCAGAATTTATTCATTGATGCTACTTAGTTTGTGACAACCTTGATATTCGATAGCAATATAGACATAAACGGTGTAAATATTGAAATCACAATAAATAAAGATCCTTAAGCTCAAAGAGAGCTTCCAAACTTGTTCGATTAAGGTTAAAAGGCAAGTATCATATAACTAGGAATCGAAACAAACACTATTTACAAAGTAGCTTGTAATAACTATGACCAATACATATTATTATTTTACCGACCTTCTTTTAAGACAGATAAATTGGTTAAATAAACCAACCGTTTGCGGGACTTGTTAACAATTACGATACAAGGTTTCCGGTGTCAATTCAGACTAATGTTAGGCCCGCTTTTGTGGCCATTCGGTGTAAACAACTGAGCCTTCGAGCAGCAAACCGTTCACCGCTGCATAGGCAGTGAAAACGTGTAATTTGTCCGATTGTCATTGATGTAATGATGGCTAATTAGGCCCGGGGCAAATGTAGACACTATTGTTACCCGCACAGGGCACAACAGCAGCAAAAATTAGGTGGATACCTGCAGTTTATAAACCACTTTTTATTCTGCGAATCGTTTTACGCTTGGCTTAATGTAATTTAGTCAATAAGTAATGCATGGTTTGGGAAACAAGCAAATGTTCGCAAGAGGGCCACATTTTCTCCGATAGCATTTTGTTCTTAAAAAGCTTATTGACAATGCAAGCAAGCAACTCAAGCAGATAATACGCTGTTTACAGACAGGACGGGCGTCCGGGCGGCATCCTATAAATATCGATCAAGTCAAGCGTCATTGTAGAGCCCCCTCATTCGTCTGGTTGTCATTAACGACTTCAACTGCAACAGTATTGCTCTGAATTTTGGAATCTTTGCCCTATTTACCAGTTATTGTACCTAAGTTTGCGTTATGCCCTATTTGTTTAGTTACGATTATGATCTTATCGCGTTGAAGTCTTTTTGAACCACCATTTATATCTCGTGTGAACTGCTATTGTGTCTAAGTTTGTGCAGCGCCTTATTTGTCAATTTGTCATTCGTATAATGACAGCTAATAAGGGTTGACTATGGCGATCGTATCGGCGCGCGCGCACTCGCCACCGCGGACGCGCGTGCTCATTCGACGCTTTATTATGTCATTACGGTGTACTTGACAACAATGGCAGGGATTGTCTTGTGCGTGACATAATGCAGTGTTGTGATTGTTGCACATAATGTAACATATTGTAATGTATCATTCTAAAATAGGTAACATTGGAAACTAGCGCAAAACAAGGTGTCGTCAGTCCGCTACTGGACATGAATGGCCTTTTATAAGGTCATCTAAAACATACAAATTAATCTAGTTAATCTGTCATCCAAAAGCATAATTATTAAGATTTAAACGCTATAAAACAAATAAATAATGGCGGAAACAAAGAAGACATTACTAAAATAATTTTGTCGCTCTATTTTCCTTTACCCAATTTCTGCTAATTGTCCCTGATTGTTATCTATGCGCGCGCCAACTTGTTAATGATATTTATTTGCATATCTACTAACATGACATTCATAATTAAGTTAACGATCTAAGTCTAAGTCCCCGAAAGATGAAAAATTAACATTGAATCCAACAACGGAACACAAGAAACGAAAGTTCGAGTTTGCAAATTTTGGCAAAAGCTACAAATAAATACATGTTAACCACAGATACCACAATACCACAGAAATATAGTTCACCAACGACAATACAACCGCTTATCATCGTGCGAAAGAGGGCATGCAAACAACGGTCGTACCTACTGCATGAAATGATAATTTAATTTAGGGGTCTATCACTGATTACTAGTTACCAGTGACAGTGACTAGTGGCACTAGTGCAGAACTAGGTAGCTGCCTCACTAGTTCAACAGTTCATTCTTCTGTATAGAGTCAGTGAACTGAGTTTACATGCGGCAAGGCCAGCGTAGTGAGGGCACGCATCAAACGAATAAATTAGGTTGTATCTGCGGATATGCATCTATCGTATAAACAGAAGTTTATAGAACTATCGTAAGTGTATTGCGCTAAACGCTGAATTATTTTGGAATTGCAAGGATATGATCAAGGCTGAGATTGTTGTGATTTATATTTGTTTTGGTAGCATTAAAGGCCAAAGAGCCTCATGAATGTAGAGCATGGCATTTTTAAGAGACCCAGAACGATTGTCTAGTATTGTCTAATTAATTTTGTTGCGGGTCCAATGACAGTTAACTTTCCCCCGGGACAAACTTGACCATCACTGGTTGGGTTTTTATTGGCGGTCAAGCTGTAGATCCTGGCTACACAGGAGCTGCAGCGGTGGGAACGAGAGGTGGGAATAGTCCTGTAGTATTGTCTAAATGGTAAAATAGTAAGTACATAATGCACCCTAAGGGCATAGTAAGTAATTAAGTAAGAGTATAAATTTTATTTATGTTATACGTATTTTTAAAACCCACCCCTACAAAATGTCTATGATATATTTGCATTATTAGAAAATGAAAGCATTTGTCACAAAAGTATTTTTTTACAAGGTAAGTATTTCTATACAATAAGTAACTGTTATTACTCGAGGCAAAGACGAATATAACGCACTTGGAAAATATATTAGGCTATTAAACTTCGCAAAGTAGCATACAGAGTGATAGAGAGAGCCTCGATTATCGTTTTTGCAGTGAAACAAAAACAACACAACTTATTTATTTTTAAGGTCGACAGCGACATCTGTTCAAACACGAAGAAGTTACTGATTACTCTCTTAGATACTAGATGGCGCTAGTGTGTTGCATAACCACGAGGGAGAGATCGATAGCAACATGGCCTTGTATGTCAAAAAGCACGTGGGTTGACAATAACAATAGACATTTCTAACTGTAATTATAACTTTTTTTAAATGAGAAAGATTATGATTAATTAATTTAGACGAAGTCTGCTATAAATCTTCAAGTATATTAAGTTTTGTGTGATAGAAATAGAAATAATATTAATAGCATTCGAGAGCCGTATCAGTACACTGGCGACATCTGTTGACATCCTATGGATTTAGCGTATGGTCCCTTATCAACTAGATGGCGTTGAACAAACACATCTAAAAATAACCCGTGAAGGTAGATTTCTACATACGACACGGCGCTCTAATAGAATAGTTTTAGACTGGTCAGGTTACATGTACAAAATATAAGTTCCGCTTGCGTCATTCGGTGGATATCAAAATGCGGCCTCTTACCTTAATTCAAAGACTATAATAATATTAACTATTATAATATACCTGCTTAGGTATCTAAAACAATTTTGTTCCACATTCAGCATGCAAGGCAATGTATGTAGAATTAATAGAGAATTGTTTTAAAAATAAATCTAAATACATCAGCAATCAGGATCCGAAACCATGTATTGGACCATATGACAGGTTCAAATTACGGAAGCAATAAATAGGACAGAGCCTATCAACGTTAGTCGAGACCCGTATGAGCAACATTGGACGCACTACATAGACTTGTATTGGTGGATGTCGTGGGTAAGCAATGAGTAAACGGACCCTACATACAATATAGCTCTGTCCTTGTCGCTAACATTTTCTGTTGAGAGGGTGCGTAATCTCCGACACTCGTTGGTATAGTCAGCGTCAAATAGTTCGTGACACCCAAAGTGGTCAAAAAATTTACAACAACCATATTCGAATTGTAATGAAGACGCGTTACGGACTTTTTGGCTACTTTGGGTGTCACGAACTACATATTTGACGCTGATGCAAACGCGACCATGTCGGAAGACATCGGGGAGAGTACGGAGGGAGGGTTACTGAATCGCGTTTGCATCGCGACAGAAACGCGTTTATGAGGACGAGGGCACACAGCTAGCGACCTCATTGCGACTGTATCGATGCGAACGTGCGACAGAATCGCTACAAAAAGTCGCCGTGGGCGAGGGGCCTTTATTTTTATTTTTCTTTATTCAGAAAACCACAGCTCTTTATAATAATAATACAAACAGGTATTTTTGTTCTTACAGCACAACAGTCAAAGGGGCAAAAAAAAAGAAACATAGGCTGCATGCAGGGTGTGTGTGTGTGTGTGTGTGTGTGTGTGTGTGTGTGTGTGTGTGTGTGTGTGTGAGTGTGTGTGAGTGTGCGTGAGTTTTCATTTACCTAATAAGTCGCAAATCTCCCTCTCGAAAGAGTGCCTGGACGTGCAAAACAAATCGACTTATTCTTATGTTATTGTTACCTGAGCATGCACGTGAGCTGCACGTCGTGCTGGTAGCGCGCGAGCGCGGGCGCGCCCTCCACGCGCACGGCGCTGACCTTCTCGCGCAGCGCGCCGCCGCAGCCGCAGCGCTCGCGCAGGATCGACATGATGTTACCTGAGCATGCACGTGAGCTGCACGTCGTGCTGGTAGCGCGCGAGCGCGGGCGCGCCCTCCACGCGCACGGCGCTGACCTTCTCGCGCAGCGCGCCGCCGCAGCCGCAGCGCTCGCGCAGGATCGACATGATGTTACCTGAGCATGCACGTGAGCTGCACGTCGTGCTGGTAGCGCGCGAGCGCGGGCGCGCCCTCCACGCGCACGGCGCTGACCTTCTCGCGCAGCGCGCCGCCGCAGCCGCAGCGCTCGCGCAGGATCGACATGATGTTACCTGAGCATGCACGTGAGCTGCACGTCGTGCTGGTAGCGCGCGAGCGCGGGCGCGCCCTCCACGCGCACGGCGCTGACCTTCTCGCGCAGCGCGCCGCCGCAGCCGCAGCGCTCGCGCAGGATCGACATGATGTTACCTGAGCATGCACGTGAGCTGCACGTCGTGCTGGTAGCGCGCGAGCGCGGGCGCGCCCTCCACGCGCACGGCGCTGACCTTCTCGCGCAGCGCGCCGCCGCAGCCGCAGCGCTCGCGCAGGATCGACATGATGTTCGCCTGCCGGAGGAACGCCACCACCTGCGAAAATAAAACAACTTAAAAGACATTCATGCCCGTTTTGTGGTGGTGCTGGGCATGTCATGTTCACGTCATGTCCTTTCGTTCATAGTAAACAGTACGCCGAGAACATGTGATTGAGGACCTGTTCTTGGACGACGAAATTATGGACTCACTAGCGGCCGCCCGCGACATCGTACGCGTGGATACCCCCGTTAGATATCATGTTGATAGATGGCGTTTCACGTCTTCCCCCGCATGAATATTTTTACGAACGACAAAAACAGTAGTTTGTCCAGCGCTGTAGATTTTAACGAATGACGATAGATGGCGCTTTTTAGACATGTCTTATTTATTTATTGAAATTTATTTGTCACATATCGTGATAAATGTTAATCTGGGTTATAAACAATAATACTGTAAAGTTTCAACAAAATCTGTTCAGTAGTTTTTGCGTGAAAGAGTAACAAACATCCAGACATCCAGAAATCATGACATCCAGACATCCAAACTTTCGCCTTTATAATATTAGTAGAATCAATCTGCATAATGCCCCAAGATAAATAAACTGTTCTAATAGCAATTCGCTCTCACCACTAAGTAGGTACCACTTGTTGTAATCAAGGGCAATTTGGGGCTCTGTAAAAATATTTTATAGACGAAAGAGCGCTTTTAAATTAGAGGCGTGAAGAAGTTAGTCCAGTCAATAAAGCATTATAGATGGAAATCCGTGGAACACAATTTTTGACTTTAGGACTTTATTTAGACTAGTTAGGAGGTGAACATAGCAAAAGTCCCCGCCCTTAGCCCTTGAGCCGGCAGGGTGAGGGGGGTTTAAAGGTACCACTTTTCGGTTTTTCGCTTAATCCTCGGAAACTATGCGTCCTAGTGACATGACTACTATGAACCAAAAAAAGCTTATTCAATTTGCTACAGGTGAGATAGTCAAGTTTTTCTATAACTTGTATAGTTTTTGCGGCATCTGTTCTAGAAAGTCTGTAATATTGGAAATTTTATTTTTGTCTTACATGTTCCCATTAGGAGAAAATCGACTAAATCAACATTGAGCAAATATTTTAGACATGCGGAAGCATGTTAAGCCTAGTTCCAGGGAGAGGACTGCACTGTGCGTATATTTAGACGAATCAATTGGAGCCACTTTTGACTCCACATCACTCAAAAACTACTGTGCATTAACACTTCAAATTTGGCTCATGTGTTGAGACTTGCAAGATAAACATCAGCTTCAAATTTCATAAATATACCTCAAACGGTTCTTTAGGTATTAACGTCCAAAAATCTACATATCTGACCTATAGACCAAATTCTAACAACTTCCAGATGACCTTGAAGGTTCAAATTTGGCATACAGATAGGTAGATGTGTAAATACAAAGGAACAAATAAAAAACCAGTAAATTTTAACATTTTACATTATTAGATAGATTTTAGTGTTCTAAATGTCGATTTTTAAACGTCAATACCTAAATAACCGTTTGAGGTATATTTATGAAATTTGAAGCTGATGTTTATCTTGCAAGTCTCAACACATGAGCCAAATTTGAAGTGTTAATGCACAGTAGTTTTTCAGTGATGAGGAGTCAAAAATGGCTCCAATTGGGTCGTCTAAATATACGCACGGTGCAGTCCCCTCCCTGGAACTAGGCTTAACGTGCTCCCGCATGTCTAAAATGTTTGCTTAATCTTGATTTAGTCGATTTTCTATTGATGGGAACATGTAAGACAAAAATAAAATTTCCAAAATTACAGACCTTCTAGAGCAGATGCCGTGAAAACTATAAAAAATATAGAAAAACTTGACTGTCTCACCTGTAGCAAATTGAATAAGCTTTTTTTGGTTCATAGTAGTCTTGCCACTAGGACGCATAGTTTCCGAGGATTAAGAGAAAAACCGAAAAGTAGTACCTTTAAACCCCCCTCTCCCCGGCGGCTCAAGGGCTAAGGGCGGGGACTTTTGCTATGTTCACCTCCTAACTAGTCTAAATAAAGTCCCGAGGTCAGAAATTATGTTCCACGGATTTCTCTCTACACCGTCGTTAAAGCATTCATTGACTGGACTAAGTGATGCAGTGGCGCCATTGTGACGCGCCTGCCGCGCCACTGTTAATTTTCTTACAATGTTTAGAAGCGCAACGCACGTCGTATTTTTCGCGACAGTGGCGCCTTGCCACTGTAGTCTACAAAGCTTCCTCACGCCTCTAAATTGAAGTCGCCTTAGTCGTATTTAGTCTTTAATTTATTTACAAAGCTTCCGCACGCCTCTAAATTGAAGTCGCCTTAGTCGTATTTAGTCTTTAATTTATTTCTATTGACTCACCTTGTCATTATAAGCCACGGGTATCTCCTGGTGGGCGGTGAGCGGCGCGTCGCCCGCCGCGACGGGCGGCCGCGGCGGCGGCGTCGGCGCCTGCGGGAAACGGTCAATATAAACAAAACAATAGACATGTTGACACCACCAATCAATTGACGTACTTTTTAAAACTGTCAAAACGAAACTCTCCCATAGATTTTGTATGGCACTACAAGCAAGTGAACGTCACTATTTTGTCACCTCAAATAAACTACTTTTTTCAATTACAATGCGACCAAAAATCGTAATTTACAGGTAATTTAAAATTAATTAAGTTATTAAGACCAGAAAGAAGTTTTTTTTTAGAAAAGTTGTGATTTCGAATTATTGGAGAATGGTGTCAAATTGTCCATTCATCGACAAAGTATGCCAACAAGAGTCTAAAAGGTCCAAGTAAAAGAGCTTTTCTGTGAAATGCATGCAACGTTGCGGGATTATGGCGTCAAGTTTCGACAAACCATATCGATGTCTTTTGATTATTTATTGGCTTTCTAAAGAAATTTGCTGATATAATGTTACAATGCTGCTCTATTACGAGAACCAACTGCGCCCAAATTATCTGTGTCAAAGGGTTGACTTGCAGTTATTCCGTTAACTTTCCAACTCCATGTAATTCATGGTAGGTGCCTAACTTGGTCGCAAATTGAGTAATGCTGTATAAATATGACAAAGCTGGCTTGCGTAATAAGCATGCTATTTTAAACACTGTTTTCAACGTATTCTTGAACTCTGTCGTACGCGTAAAAAGGAACACCACAAAAAATAACAATAAAAACAAAACAACGCACAAAGCAGAAACATAAAAACCACACAGTTCAATAAAACATAACCACGCAACATAAAAAACCTGAACCTATAAAGTAACAGAAAACAAAAACAAACCCATTTGAATGGCCACAAAAAGCGATGGACAACACAATATATGCAAAACACTGAGATGAACAGATATAGTGATATGATAATACCACCTGGCGCCCACACGAAGCGCGATGGACAAGCAATAACACCCAGCGACATATACTGATACTATGATGAATATGCATGACCTTACTCTGCGTTACGAGAACAATATTGCTCTAGAAAAGCTTATATGAAATAATTTATCAGCAAAGTTCACCGGGAAACTGTTAAGGCTCTCTCTCCTATATTGTAGTACTGGGTGAGTAAGATATTCGAAATGAAAACAGAGGTGGAATTGTGTAAAGCAATCGTAATCATTTGACAGTTCATAACGTACGATAAAGTCAGTTAAACAAAGCGTTTGACAGAATAATCGTACGTTATGAACTGTCAAATGATTACGATTGCTTTACACAATTCCACCTCAGTTTGTGGGCTAGAGTTCTAGGACTACTGTCAAATCATTTCAAGCAAGTGTAAGGTCATGCCGTAACCCAACTAAATGAAACGAAACCAAAAAAAAAAAGACATAAAGCTGACACTCACATTTAACACCACAAAAGTCTCCGAAACGACGGCCAAATGGTTCTGGTGGGACCGTGGTATGGCAAAATGTTCAAAGTTTTTTAGATAAGCCCGTCATAGTGAAGATATAGAAAACGTCCTCTGTGTTACGGGAGAAAAGAATTTGGTTGACGTAATCAAAGCTTTTGTAAGTGACTTTAACTACTTTAGAAATTGGAAAATTGATTTATTTTTTAATTTGTGTAACACGAATCCTTTGCCAATTGCCAATAACCACTAAATAAAACAAAACCCACCGATCCCTCTATCTCCAAATTGCCGTGTGTAAAGGGCCATGTTGTTTTAGCCAAATGACGTCCACTGCTGGACAAAGGCCTTCCCCAAGGTTTTCCACAATGAACGGTCCTGCGCTGCCCGCATCCAGGCTCTTCCCGCGACCTTTACCAGATCATCGGTCCAAAGGCCCATATTTCTAATTTATAGTTTATAATGGATGCAATTAATAATTGAGTATCCCACCAAAACTTCAGCCATCGTTTCAAAATCTACCATATCACACAAAATCTACCATATTACACAAAATCTACCACACCCTAGCAACACCGACCTGGTCAACAACGTGCCTCCGCCGCTGAGGCAGCAGCGGCGAGAAAGGCCCGGCTTGCGGCGCGCGCGGCAGTCGCGGGTCGATGAACGTCGTCCGCCGCATCACGTGGTCCACGAAGAAACGCTGCAAACGCGTGCGATGTTAGTAAGCTTTGGCGTCTCGAGGGTTAAGGTGGAATCGAAAAAATTTTTTTTTATGTATAAGGCATGTATTTGACCACAATCGCACCTGGTGTTTAGTGGGATGCAGTCTAGGATGGTAAAGCCTGGCCCGTGAGCACGTAGAATTTTGTACAATGACCCCAAGCTACCCATCCTTATCGCTCGCACGTAATTATGTTGCTTTCGCACTCGCACACTCACTGCGGGCGCCCGTCGCACAGTCGCGACAGCAATATAATTACGCGCGAGCGATAAGGATGGGTAGCTTGGGGTCATTGGACAAAATTCTACGTGCTCACGGACCAGGCTTTACATAATATCTGCATATAATATACCTGACTTTTGTAACTGAACAAAATGTGCGCTTGCGCATTGTCAGTATCAAACTTCGGCGTTGGTTAGACTACCATGAGCATCAAGGGTTAAGGAGGACTCAAAAAATTTAAGCAACTTTAGTAACTAACTGGACTAAACACTGTATAATGTGCGCGTGCGCATTGTTAGTATCAAGCATTAGCGTGGTTAGACTACCTACGCATTGCAAGGGTTAAGTTGGAATCGATTTTTTTTAAATACCTAACTTCAGTCTAACTAAACTAAGAAACGCTGCAAAACGCGTGCGCTTTGATAGTAGAGCTTTAGGCTAGACTGCCTACACACCTCAAGGGCTATTGTGGTCACAATGATAAAGTACGTAACTAACTGCAGAATATGCGCGTGCGCATTGTTAGTACAAAGCTTTAGTGTTAGTTAGTTTTCACATTTACGGCGTTAAAGAGAACTCTCTGTCGCAGTATTTTAAACGCGCTAGACGTTAGTTAGTCTGATTTACTGAAAACGTTGTAGAACATCATCTGATAGCGTTTTTTCTGATCACGTTCGAAGGAGGACAAATCTCGGTTGGTCTTGGATACCATATCGAGGTACTATCTTCTATAACCATGCCATTCCTGGTCAGTTGAATGTCTGACCCAAACGGTCGGTCTACCGACTCGCTGAACATATTGTTGAGCACCATCTCGTCTATTTACTGATAACATAATGCTAGAAAGACATTCGGGCACAATCTTCGAAACAATGTTCAAACTATATGTAACGAAAATACCTTGGAAATATACATTCACATCACATTACTATGCTTTGTTACCTTGCCATTCCTATCCAGTTTAGTGTCCCACCCAAGTGGCAGGTCTCGATCCGACTCGCTGAACATATTGACCAACGCCACCAAGTCCCGGTTGTGTTGATAACGCTCGAAGGATGCTGTGTCCCGGCGGATCTTGGAGATCATGTGCTTGAGGGTAGAGTTGCAGTTGTAGAGGGATGACGCTTCCTGAAATAACAACAAGACGGAGTTAGGAAATAGCTAGGAGGTGCACTTCAGCTTCGTTAGACTATAAGCAAAAGAGAACTATAAATTAAGTGCCAAAATAGGGCGACTGCTATAGTAATTAGCCTATATAATATATGTATTGGCATATTGGATTGTTAATAAGTAAGAGACAAAAATATTTATTACATTAGACTGCATATTGCTCAGAAAAAATATTTGTCTTTTTTCCTCTCTTAATAACTTCCATTAGGCTTGTTTCTTTTCATTTTAGGCAAGTTGGCCAATAACTATGTATTGGATAATTACTATAGCGATCACCCTACTGGTCAAAGGAGATCTTAATGGCATGATTATGTCTTAATTACAAGCGAATGACTCATAATTAATATTTGATTTTAATAACGTAAATGAATTTAACTGTTGTCGTCATTTAAGCCCGGAAACAGAATCGCTGCTATTAACAACAGAGTCGATTATTACCTCATCATGTTAACGTAACATTAATTATGGACCAGTCTGATAACATTTTACAAATTATTACGTTTGTATATCTGTTATTTAATGACTAATGGCTAATCGCCACTTTGTAAGCGTTACAAATGTCTCGCCGTGACCGGTCGGACACCTTTAGTGCCGATATCATCAGTTGAAATGCATGAACTGGTTACCGGTAACGTTATTATTGTATCTCACTCATTTTATTATACTATTTTCGGATCCGATATTAATTTTTAACGATCTTTCAATGGCCTGATCTACATAATTTGATTTAAACGTCCATTTTATGAGCTCAAATTGAAACACGGTTATGAGCAGTTATTTAGATATGCGTAGAACTTTATGAATATTCAAATCGTATTGAATCGATGTCGCAAATTAGAGATTATTGATCTTGCATCGTTTAATCATGTCAACGATGATTTAATTAAGTATTTTTTATATCTGAATCAAATAAATTAAAGCATTATTATCCATTCTAGCCTAAACTACTTGCAAGGCCAAAAAAGGGCCAGTTCAGCTCTGTTCCTAAAATCTAACTAGAGTTAAGTAACGGTATTACATTTTTTAAATTGTCTCATTACAAAGTTCAGAAATAAATGAAATTAAAGACTTTATTGGCCACGCTAACGGTTTACATTACATGGTTGAGTTAACTGCGCAACTCACTGGAATGCAAGTCTCCCTCGCACTCACCCGTGTTCGTCCCGTTCGTACCAGAGCGTCGATGTGACGTCACGGCCAAGGTGCGCAGTGAACTCGACCGGGTGGTATCCTCACTTATCAAGCTTAGATTTTTTACTTAAAATATAATAGTAAGACACGGGTCTTAACGCGACGTTTATTAATGAGTTACGTTATGTACTCACGGCTTGACGTTTCGGCTGCGATGCTGCCACCGTGGTCACTCATTAATAAACGTCGCGTTAAGACCCGTGTCTTACTATTTTAATGAGGGTTTTCGCGAATGAAAAATCCGCATACGCAGACGCGAGGTCCAAATGCTGCATGATTGGTTATTTTTGACATGACATTGACAGATATGTCAAAATCCACCAATCACGCAGCAGTCAGACCCCACATCCACGTCCCGCCATCTAGCGGATCTTTCATTCGCGAAAACCCTCTTTGTAATGGAACGCGAAAGTTTAAAATCTCAGTTTTTTTACTTGTTAAAAACATCACTCACTTGGTTCATATGCAGTATGGAGTAGAAGTCTGGTCGCGCTAGAAATTCTGCAGCGGGGTGGGGGGCGTGGGGTTCCGAGGCGCGTGACGTGCCGGCGGCGGGCGGCGCGGGCGCAGGCGGTGCCTCCTCCTCGGAGAGCTGTGTCCGCGTCATCGTGCGGCGGATGGATTGGTATCTGGAAGGGTAATTGATTATTTTAGTCTTTAGAGTACTTCAGCTAAACTACAGGTAATGCAAAATACTAAGGCTGGGTTGCACCATCTTACTTTAACTTTGACAAACGTCAAAAATCTGTCAAACTCCATACAAAAACACCGGTTATCGTTTTAGTTTTTCCATTCAATTATACCGCGTGGTTCATATTCAATTTTATTTGCCAACTAAGGCTGAGTTGCACCACCTAAATGTATAATATAATATATTATAATATAGTATAACGATAACCGGTAGTTTTTGTATGGAGTTTGACAGATTTTTGACGTTTGTTAAAGTTAAAGTTAAAGTAAGGTGATGCAATCCTGCCTAAGTGTTACAAGTTGTTATACTTATGATAAACTAAAGAGCTCTTAAATGTTAGGTTCTGAGAGAAAAGAATAGGACCAATTTCGGTCTTCCCGTGGACGTCATATAAAAGACAAGTAAGGGACAATATGCGAAGATTAGACCTCGCCAACCCATCGGGCTAGCGTGTGTAGGCCAATATCTCCGTTTGAATCTAGTACATTAGAGAGGCTTGTGCTCCTTCTGTAGAGAGAGACTACCGCCTCTGTGGTCTAGTGGTAAGACCACCTGCTTCAGACGCAGAGGTCCCGGGTTCGATTCCCAGAGGGGGCAGATTTTTCTGTTCGGTTTGGTTGGTGGTAGGACTTGTTCTAAGTCCGCCTGGCTAGCTACCACCATCTTACCTAAGTATATCGCCATAACAACAATGTTAACAGCATTGTTGTGTTCCGGCAGTTACAGGTAAGATAGGCAGTTCCTCTGTGGTTTGGGATTCCGGGTGAAGCTCGCTTCCACCTTTGGCCTGATCATCACTTACCATCAGGTGAGATACAGGCCAAGAGCTTCCTCGTTGTGGATAAAAAAAAAGACTAAATAACCTGATAATGATGATTCGAGACTATTAGAGGCAATGGTCCCATGCCTCTAAGCAAGCGTGGGGTATACCAACGCCACGGTATAGCGAGTAAAAATTAACGGTTGAATGAAATTTTGTCAAGTAAAAGCAGTAAACAACTTACCTTCTATCCAGCTGTCTCCTCTGCACCTCGGGCGCTGGTGACCTGGCAGCTGTTCCGTTGACGCCCGGCCTCTGCCACGTCGTGGTCCTGTTGATGTGGTCTATGTAGAACACGCGCCCGTGACTGTCCATCCGAGCTTCCCAACCTGGAGACATATACATAAATTGGTAAATTTAGAAAGTAACGTATATAAAACAAGTAATACCAGGCCTGTTCATCTCCGCGAGTTTACATCGAAAACAAAACACGCACGATGGCCCACCTACAGGATACTATTCGACAAGACCTCACATACGAGCGAACATTGACTCACGCACGCGTATTCTTGTGTATGATAAAGAAAATGGTGTACTAAATGCTGTGCAGTATTTAACTGCCTAAATAATAATAAAAACACAGAATGTACTTTTTAAGTTGCCTCAAGACACTGAGAGGTAAATAAGTAGTTAATATTATTCATGATAATTCATGCTAAATCATGTATTTCCTCCGCCATTTTCCGCAGTTTGGCACCTCACGTCACATCATTTNAATTTGTACACTAAAGTCCATTAAATAATAAATTGAAACCATTAAAACAGATCGACCATGCTTCCCGTTCAACTACCCTCCACGGAATCACTGTTAATTTTCTTACAATGGTTAGAAGCGCAACGCACGTCGTATTTTTCGCGACAGTGGCGCCTTGCCACTGTAGTCTACAAAGCTTCCTCACGCCTCTAAATTGAAGTCACCTTAGTCGTATTTAGTCTTTAATTTATCTCTATTGACTCACCTTATCATTATACGCCACGGGTATCTCCTGGTGGGCGGTGAGCGGCGCGTGGCCCGCCGCGACGGGCGGCCGCGGCGGCGGCGTCGGCGCCTGCGGGAAACGGTCAATATGAACAAAACAATAGACATGTTGACACCACCAATCAATGAGGGCTATCGTTTTAGCGCTCACCAGTTGGCGCCACTGTAGAGTAAGGTCCTGTCACTCGCTAGTAGCGAAGACAGTGGCGCCAGCTGGTGAGCGCGAAAGTGGTAGGAGGACTATCGCATTTGCACTCATTAAGATGGCGTCACTGTAGAGTAAGGTCCTGTCAATCGCCAGGGGTGCCAACTGTTAGGTAAAAAAACGATAGCCCTCATTGACGTACTTTTTAAAACTGTCAAAACGAAACTCTCCCATAGATTTTGTATGGCACTACAAGCAAGTGACGTCACTATTTTGTCACCTCAAATAAACTACTTTTTTCAATTACAATGCGACCAAAAATCGTAATTTACAGGTAATTTAAAATTAAGTAATTAAGTTTTTAAGACCAGAAAGAAGTGTCTTTTTAGAAAAGTTGTGATTTCGAATTATTGGAGAATGGTGTCAAATTGTCCATTCATCAACAAAGTATGCCAACAAGAGTCTAAAAGGTCCTAGTAAAAGAGCTTTTCTGTGAAATGCATGCAACATTGCGGAATTATGGCGTCAAGTTTCATCAAACCATATCGATATCTTTTGATTATTTATTGACTTCCTGAAGAAAGTTGCTGATAGAATGTTACTATGCTGCTCTTTTACGAGAACCAACTGCGCCTAAATTATCTGTGTCAAAGGGTTGACTTGCAGTTATTCCGTTAACTGTCCAACTCCATGTAATACATGGTTGGTGCCGATACACAGCATAAGTTGGTCGCATATTAATGCTGTATATATGTATGATAAAGCTGGCTTGCGTAATAAGCATGCTATTTTAAACACTGCATAACTCTGTAGTACGCGTAAAAAGGAACACCACAAAAAATAACAATAAAAACAAAACAACGCACAAAGCAGAAACATAAAAACCACACAGTTCAATAAAACATAACCACGCAACATAAAAACCAGAACCTATAAAGTAACAGAAAACAAAAACAAACCCATTTGAATGGCCACAAAAAGCGATGGACAACACAATATATGCAAAACACTGAGATGAACAGATATAGTGATATGATAATACCACCTGGCGCCCACACGAAGCGCGATGGACAAGCAATAACACCCAGCGACATATACTGATACTATGATGAATATGCATGACCTTACTCTGCGTTACAAGAACAATATTGCTCTACAAAAGCTTATACATATTATGTAACTAGCTGTGCCCGCGACTTCGTACGCGTGAAAACCCGTTTTCGCAACATTTTTCATTATTGCTCTGCTCCTATTGATTGTAGCGTGATGTTGTATAGCCTATAGCCTTCCTCGATAAAATAGGCTATCTAACACTGAAATAATTTTTCAAATCGGACCAGTAGTTCCGGAGATTAGCGCGTTCAAGTAAACAAACAAACACACTCTTCAGCTTTATAATACAAATCGGAATTTACAAAATAAATTTTATAAATTCCGATTTGTATGAAAATTTTAATAATTAAAATGAAGATATCAAATTTCTGACTTCACCATACCATTTATATGACCATGTTAACATGGGCTAGTGTCGGCTCATATACCCATTTACCTAACACCCTGTAGATATAATCCTACACCAAGAGACTTCTAAGTTCGTCACACACTCTCGCTCCGTATAGTAGTGAATGAGTAGGACATTCGGATTGGAATCATTTTGCGGAGTAGAATTCTAGGATTTCAAGCAAGTGTAAGGTCATGCCGTAACCCAACGAAATGAAACGAAACCAAAAAAAGAGATATAAAGCTGACACTCACATTTAACACCACAAAAGTCTCCGAAACGACGGCCAAATGGTTCTGGTGGGACCGTGGTATGGCAAAATGTTCAAAGTTTTTTAGATAAGCCCGTCATAGTGAAGATATAGAAAACATCCTCTGTGTTACGGAAGACAAAAATTTGGTTGACATAATCAAAGTTTTTGTAAGTGATTAACTTTATTTAACTACTTTAGAAATTGGAAAATTGATTTATTTTTTAATTTGTGTAACACGAATTCTTCGCCAATAACCAATAAATAAAGCAAAAGCTACCGATCCCTCTATCTCCCAATNCTGAGCGTTTCTGTGATGAGACGGGCGGTCTGGCCTTTGGTGAGATGTCTTGGTTCTTGTACTGCTGCTAGGCTATCTTCCTTTTTCTCCTGAGGTCTGTGTTAGGTAGGTACCTACTGAGTTTTTGACGTTTTCTTTCCTTTACATGTTCCGGGTCAGATATTTCTTATGCTTCATTTCTTTGTGTCATAATTGAGTTCACTCTTTTCTATTTCTTGGATAGTAGATGTTTAAATTGATCGTGTGATGTCCACTGTAATAAATGTATCTTTCTTTCTTTCTTTCTTTCTAAATTTTAGTTCCATTTATCCACAACCTCTGAAAAACTTGACCCTTTTGTTTTTTTTTAATAATTACTACGGCGATAACTGTGGTTTTGGGTTTTTGTCGTCTTCTTTGTTGTCTGTTTTCCCTGAGTCGAATATTTCTTCTTTTTTTTTTTGTCTTGGGCTAAATAAATCTTCTCTCTTCGATTATTTGATTTGCACTTTTGACTATTCAGTCGATATTATGCGGTTCTGGGTTTTTGTCGTCTTTTTCGCTGTCTTTTGACATTATTTTTCCATATCTAGTGTTTCTTGTGCTGCTTTTCTTATTTATTTTTATGGTGGGTTAATTTAGTCTTCTCTCTTTCGTTTCTTGGATTGTGCTTGATGCGGTAAGCAGACGGCTGGCCACTAAAAACGGCATTTTTAGGAGCGTCTTCATATTTTCCTAACATTAAACGGTTCGCCTTGGTGTAATCTAATATGATTTCTTTTAGTTCAATGATCTTTATGCAGGGTGATTGTTACATTGAGTTTCTTCCATCGTTTCCATTAAGTTTTTATTTTTTCACTGTTTCGTTGATTTTTTTCGGTGGATATTTTTTATTTCTTTTAGTACTTAAATTATTTTCCGATGTCTTCAAGATATACATGATATTGTCCTCTCAAGGCAAAAGACATTGCTAACTGCCTCGTTGGATTAGGTTTTTATGCTCTTGGTGAAAGTATGTATTCTCATTGAAAAAAATCTTGTTAGATTCAAATTTTCTGGTTGAAATCCGTTTTCCGACAAAGTTGCAGCAGAGCTTGTTGAGCTGTATGTGTACACTGTAGGTTAAATTGCTTTCGATCTGAAGTTTCTTATTGGAATACGTAGTTTCTGCAATCGATTTGAATATTTTGTGGTTCCTATAGGATTTCGTTATTAAATGGTCAATGGCATGGTTTTGGTTCCAGTTTTTGAGTTTTCTTGCTATTAAATGAGTTTTTTAGGCGGAGTATATCTCTTCTGTCTATGATGAAGACCCTTTGCAAAATTCCTTGACTTCTCAGTGCATTTAAGTCTCTTAAAACTGTATTATGTTCGGTTACTCTTTCAATTTTCCGATTCCGGTAAGCTGATGTTCTATCTGATAGTATTTATCTTTGCATGTGTAAATATGGCAGTAAATCCTGATTCTTTTAGGCTCAAAATTTCTTAGATGATTTTCCAGGTACCTGGTCTGCTCTTTGATTGGTGATTCACTTGTTTCATCCACTAGGTATATTTTTCTCGTTAAAATGTACAAGATCTTGTCTGGCCGCTTTTTGATCAAGTCTGGGATACATAGGTTCATGGATTTGGTAAGCTCTTTCTCACAGTCGATATTTTCCATCGCCAGGTAGTTTTAAAGTGTATGCCTTCATTTTTAGCTGTAGAAAGGGGCTTATAACTAGAGGGTTAGTGAATTATGACTAAGGTGTTAATAGTATTTTGTATTGTCAAAGCGTCAAGTCTTTTGTTTTTAACCTGCTTTCAACAAAATGTTAGTCGGGCCACCTCTTTTTTTGTATGAGTTGTACTTTTGGTTGGTGAATGGTTTACGACATGCAGATGTGACTATTAGTTTTTTTTTTTGCAAAGCAAAGGATCTCTACTAGCTGTTGTTTCAAATATTTTTTTTGTGTATTTCGTGGCAAATGTGTTTAAAGTGTCCATCTACTAATGGTAGTGCAATAGTGAAGTTAAATTTTATTGCTTTTGGAAACTTTTTATGGCGACCAAATGTTGACCTTTCTTGGTACGCGCTTTGAAATTTTGTGCAATAGATGTCTGTTATAGAATGTGTTTGGTGAAAGTTTTGTAGGGATCTTTCTGTGTTATCAATTATTATTTATACCTACTAT